GGGTAACAAGCTATTAATTTTGTGCTTCAAAGTTATTAGCCACCTTTCTATATACAGTCACAGGGAAATGAATGGACTTAATCCCTATATTAAAACACAGAACAAACCAAATGATCCCGTGTTTCGTGACTTTTCAAAGTTCATTATCTCCTTGGCAATGCCTTGCCAAGGGCCAGATACACAACTACCACTCTGGAGAGGAGTCTCCGGCAGTTTACATCACAAGCCTGCTAATGTGCAGTTAATCGCCATTTACCAGTCATTCCTCTCCACACCACACGTAAAAGGTCACTCGGGAAAAGCATTCTTTCCCAGTGATTCAACCATACTGGGTTTGTGAAACGTCCTCTTCCACTGATTACACAAGTCCTGAGGGAGTTTGCTCCTTTAATGTGATACATAGCTAGCATTTGCAAATGCAGACAATCAAGTGGGAAAATGAAATATTTAAGTGGATAACATTTAATGTCAAAAGAAGTCGAAGATTTCTCCTTTTTTGGTTTCATCTAAGTCTTCAGGACAAAACATCATTCAATTCTAGGGCTGAAATTTTACGTAGATGACAATATTCATCTCCTAATTATCAAAATATATTTTAATTGAGAGCATTACACATAAAATATAACTGCAGTAAGTGAAAGATTATTGCCATCAATCACGATGCTTATCTACACTTGCGGGTCTCTGCGCTAACAAAGAGCAAACAGTAGTTTAGTGCATCAATAACCCAATGGGAAATTTAAAATGATTTATTTCTCTGACTTATTAAAAACCTAGTCATAGCCCAAAGATCTCTGAATACCCATAAAATTAGGAAACTATTACTGTAAAATTAAGAAATAACAGTAAAATATCCACACAGGAAGCAATCCAGCAAGATCTTACTCACTGGAAATTGTATTATACAAGTATTTCAAATGAAGAGTTTGAGTAAACTCTGTTAATGAATTATGCTTTAATGGAACTCATTTTTGTGGCTCTATTGCTATGTAACATTCCTCACTTATGGAACCATTTCCCCTTCTTTAAAATTCATCTTGAAATAACATGTACTTGGAGATATTTCTTTCTATATGATTTCCTTTTGAAGTGTTCTGATTTCAAATACAGAAAGTTAACAATTTCAGCACAAAATAAACTCATGATTTGATCAGAGTACATAATTACTATTCAATACCTATCAGAAAGTGAAAAGTTACGTAGGGTCAAAGTTTAGCAAATTATTCTCAGAATACAATTTAGTGGTATTATCATCATGTTTGAGTTCTGAATATATTAAAAAGGTAAATATTTGAAGAGATAGTTTATAATAAAAACTATACAATCCAAACTACCGCCCATTAAAATTCCTTCCTCTGCCATTTAAAATGATAAAATATTTGAAAAAGTTTATTATATTTCTAAGTAAATAACTTTGGAAAAATAATTTAAAATCACTGAATGAAAAGGGCAACGAGGGTAGAAGAAAAGGAAAAATGTTGATGAAAACTGTACCTTTATGCTATGGAGTCACAAAACGTAAATAATTTATTCTTAGATGGAAAAACTCAATTTTACATAAGCGTACTTCAAAAGTTCATGGAAAATGGAAGTAAAACATCAGTTTATTTTGCTGCCAAATATCTTGAAATCCATTTTAAAAGGTTTTCATAATACGCATTTTCATGACTATCTGAAGATCTCATGTGTCATTTCTTCCTAACAGACTCAATACAATCTCAATGAAGTCAATAAAATATTTTCTTGGGAACAAGGAGAAGGAAAGGGTTCATGACTTTCAATGAAGGGATGGATGTGTAAAACCAGTGGGCACCGGATTCTGTCCCGGTTGCCCCTCTTCCAGGCCAGCCCTCTGCTGTGGCCAGGGAGTGCAGTGGAGGATGGCCCAGGTGCTTGGGCCCTGCACCCCATGGGAGACCAGGAAAAGCACCTGGCTCCTGGCTCCTGCCATCGGATCAGCGCGGTGCGCCGGCCGCAGCGCGCCAGCCGCGGCGGCCATTGGAGGGTGAACCAACGGCAAAGGAAGAGCTTTCTCTCTGTCTCTCTCTCTCACTGTCCACTCTGGCTGTCAAAAAACAAAAAACAACAAACAAACAAACAAACAAAAAAACCAGTGAACACACTCAGGAAAAACAATTTTATTGAATTCAAGATTTGCAGGTCTAATAATCATTCTTAATTATTCTGGCAGCACTTTATGATGGTGAGAATCATCAAACAGTCTTCCATATTGTGCTTCCTTAACTAAACGTCTCATCCTCACAACAGAATCAGCACTCACCTGTCACTAAGAATGGCAGGCTTCTGAATTTCTTTTTTAACAAGTAGTGCTCATTGCGCATTGTTAAGTATGCACAGCAAGTATGAATGAATCACCTGTGTAAAACATGTATCAAAAAAATGTAAGGAGGATTTATCTCAAAAGACAAAACGTGGCTTCTCTGGGTAGTAGGGCAATGAGTCTTTTTTCAGCTTTTATGCTTCTTGGCATTGTGGGAATTCTCCATTATAAAGATGAATATGCATTATTTTAGAATCGTAAGAAGTCATTTTGACACCTGGGTGTGAGAATTTACAGATACCAAATAAATGAAATGAAAGGAAGTAAATACAGATAGTTTCTAGGAGGAGAAAAAACACACAGGATCACCCTTTGAAGAGGGTCTCTTTGGAAGGGATTCCACTGTTTGTCCATCTGCCGGTGGTGTACAGGAACCCATTGGGATGTAGGACATCGCATGCAGGAATCACCCTTGCCTCGATTTCTCAGTTTCCAGTTTCCTTTTCTTCTGACTGAATCACTGGCATCGAGGTGAATGTAACAGCAATGGCGTCTCAAACCACATCACTAAACTAGCAGTTCTTACACTTAATGATAGCCATACTTTAATGCTGTACTTGCATGACTAAAATGAATGATAAACCAAAAAATACATTTCTTGACATAGTCCTAAATGACTTAATACAGGAGTTTTATCACAGAAGGTAAAAGTATGTTGTTAATGGTAACTACAATATATTTAGTTTGAATTTTTTTTTAAAGACTGTGTTGGAAAAAACTTAGTCATCTTCACAGATTCTTTCAACATCCTCCTTTTTTTAAATATTGATTTTTTAAAAAAATATTTTATTTATTTATTTGAGTGGTAGAGTTACAATCAGAGAGAAGAGAGACAGATAGAAAGATCTTCCATTCACTTGTTTGCTCCCCAAATGGCTACAACGGCTGGAGCTGGGCTGATCCAAAGCCCAGAGCCAGGAGCTTCCTCTGGGTCTCTCATGCGGGTGCAGGGGCCCAAGGACTTGGGCCATCTTCTACTGCTTTCCCAGGCCATAGCAGAGAGCTGGATTGGAAGAGGAGCAGCTAGGACACAAACTGGCACCCATATGTGATGCTGGTGCTGCAGGCAGAGGTTTAGCCTACTTCCCAACAGTGGCAGCCCCAGATTGATTTATTTATGTGAAAGTCAGAGTTAGAGAAGGAAAGAAAGAGATAGAGAGGTCTTCCATCCACTGGTTCACTCCCTAAATGGCTGCAACAAACCAGGGCTGGCCCAAGCAGAACCAGGAGGCAGGAGCCTCTTTCAGGCCTTCCAAGTGGGTGGCAGGGGCCCAGGGACTTGGGCCATCTTCTGCTGCTATCCCAGGCATACCAGCAAGGAGCTCGTTCAGAAGTGGAGCAGCTGGGACTGGAACAGTGGCCCACATGGTAAGCTGGCACTGCAGGTGGCAGCTTAACCCTCTGTGCCACAGCATTGGCCCTTAGGTTAGAATTCTTTTAGCAAAAGCCTTAAGTTGTATAGTTCTGATTCTGTATTTTCAATAACAGATTTATATGATCAGCCCACATGATGCAATGAAGATAACAACAATTTATATTATATTTGCTGTCAGTCATAGTCCTAAAAGCAACCAGTGAGGTTTGTGCTATAATTATCTCTCATTTCACACACAGGGAAACGAAGACTCAGGAGGCCGCCAAGTCCCTTGCTCAAGGTCTCGCAGCCTAAAAGTGACAGCACTGGGTGCTAACCTAGAAAGTCTGGTACCAGAAGATTTGCTTTTTGCATATTTTCATGATTTTAAATAAACATTTAACATTTAATTTTAGAATAGTTCTAAACACACAGAAAGTCTATAAGAAAACTATAATAGGAAGGTGTTCATGTCTACCCCTCACCCAGTTTTCCCCCTTGCTAAATGCTAACATTAATACTGCCTCTGTCAGAACTAAGGAAGCCACACTGACACAATGATATTAACAGAACGCCATACTTTACTTGGATGTCCCCAGCTGTTTTCTAATGTGTTCCTGTCCGGGATCCCTGTGAGTTATGTCTCCCCAGACCCCTCTCGGTTGTGAAGGTTTTCCAGACATTCCTTGGTTTTGATGACGGTAACAGTTTTGGGGAGTACTGTCCAGGTATTCCAAATGGGGTCTGTGTGATATGTAGTTCACACCAGACTGGGGTTATGGTTTGGGGAGTAAGAGCCTACATACGGCATCAAGAGGACCTGCTTCCAACATGCCCACTCCCAACGACGAGGAACTGTCGGCTCGGGGTCTCCACTGTAAAGTTACCATCCTCCCTCAGGCCCACCACTTGTATAGTTTACTTTCCAGGAGAAAATTAATCAGAGACCACAATCAAAGGCGGGGCAGGGAGCTGGCAGAAGTTAAGCTCCACCTACTTGAAGGGCTGTGGGTATCCAAGCAAATGATATCGAATGCTTCTGTGAGGGCCTCACTTTCAACCCAACACTCTGTACGGCCAGTCACATTGTATTCTTCCCCACCATGCTGGCACATTACTCATGTGTGAGAGTTTAAAGACACAATTCTTAACTAATCCCTGCCTTTTCAAAGGTCCAAAGACACATCAGAACTAAATGTGACAACAAACTGGTTTTAAATTATGATCCACAGACAACTATAGGATTCCTCACTCAGCGATTAATTAGAAGCTACGTTTTCTCAGACGCACTCTGAAAGAACTTACCAGAAATATTCGCTCAAGTTGATCCTGAATGTCTTTCATTCCCGGAAAAGCAGCAACTCCTTGGATCATTTCAACAAAGATGCAGCCGACTCCCCTAAAGAGACAGGAAAGAATCCTTAAAAAACTTCAATGCAGTCTGCTTTGAAAACTAAACCTGCAATTAAAACATCCGCCCCTACAGAGGAGAAGCAATAAGTAAATTACATTATTCCGTGCCAGGCAACACACACCTAGATCCCCTAATGTTCCTCCTGCCCCATCTCTGTCCATCGCCCTCAGGGTGTTCTAAATAGAGGCAGCTACCCAGTTCTCAGAAAACAGCAGTCACCGAAGAAACAGAAAACACCACTGACTTGCTCCTTACTTTCAGGATATAGCTGAGACTGTCCATGGTTTCCACAGTCTTGTTCTGACATCCTTTCCTAACTGCTGCTTTGCAAAGCTCATAGGTATTGCAATCATTAGCTGTCCAATGATTCTCAGTCATTTTTGCATCAGAATCCAGGGAACTTTCAAAAATGGCAAATGCTCTAGCCATAAACCCCAGAGATTCTCTCAGTCTAGGCTGGAGCCGGCACAGCCATGCCTGCTTGGATGACTCAGGGCAGCTTCGCTGCAGAGCACCCAGCCAGACTGAACTACCCGAGTGCCAAGCCAAAATCTACACCACTTACTGCAAATTGCTTCTCTACCTAGAATCTGCTCCTTCTGCACCTATATGCTCTTGATAGCTCAAACAGCCTCTACATTTCTACTTAAATGCCATCTCCTCCATGAAGCCTTCCTCGCACCTTCCAGCAGACAAGACAACTTACTGGTTAAGTCCCTAATCAATATGACAGCTATCTACTATGATCCACCTCTTCTCTTAGCTTAATTTGCAGGGCTCTCAGCTCCTATCTGGCTGGCAATCCAGCGATTCTGGGGAGCTCGACTTTCAGATCACAGCAGACTGCACCTACCCAACAGTACCAAACAATCCACAGGATGAGCAAAGAGCCAGTTAGATCCTTCTGCTGGGACTCTGGAGAACAGGTCAGATGGGAGCAGGAGAGCAAAGGACCAGAGTGGGTAGGTGGGCTAAGTCCTGTTAACGGCACAGTACTAGCATGAATGGTCACATATTCCTGCAAAGTTCCCTGAATTGACCTAGTTCCTGTCATCTGGAGGCCTGGATGTTTAGAAAATCTGGTGGTTCTTGTAGATCTCTCTAACTCCTGACAATTTCCCAAATTATTTTAAATTCAGGGTTGATTTTTTTTTAAAGATTGATCTATTTATTTGAAAGGCAGAGGCAGAGAGAGAGAGAGAGAGAGACATTGAGAGTGAGTCTTTCATCCACTGGTTCACTCCCCAAATGGCCACAACGGTCAGAGCTGGGCCAGTCTGAAGCCAGGAGCCAAGAGCATCTTCTGGTCTTCCACGCAGGTGCAGGGGCCCAAGGACTTGGGCCATCTTCTACTGCTGCAATCCCATTAAATTTAGGATAAGGAAACCCTTGTCTAACTTATTTTAGAACCTGAAGATTAAGGGAAAGTGACCTATTTCTTTATAGCTCCTCTGGTTGTTATCACAGTTACATATAAACAATGTTTTGAATTAAACATTGAAGAAATCTCTTCTCTTTATTCCACATAATTTCTACTTAAATTAAACTCAAGTTGGGTCAAATGGACTAAAAAAATACTCCTTTATGCCATAAAAATAATTTTATTATTAAAGTAGTAAAGAAATAATTTCAAATCAGTGTGCTAGGCAGATGTGTTTTAATCTAATCTGTATTCAATTCAGATGGAACAGACAAGATAGTATGAAAAGAATTATTTTATTAACATACTAAATGCAATAATATGCTTATAAATACTAAGGCTTTAGATGTCTGGTTAAGACTATTTAAAATTCCAGTATTATGATTTTCCAAATTGCTCTGCCAAGAATTATTTTCTAAGACTACTGAAGTACATTTCATTTTTTAAAAAATAAGGCTTAATTCATCATTTTTGCTTTATGGTTTGTGCTTTTTAAAAAGATTTATTTTATTTATTTGAAAGGCAGAATTAGAGAGAGAGAGAGAGAGAAAGAGAGAGAGAGAGAGAAAGATCTTCAATCACTGGTTCACTCCCCACATGGCCGCAATGCTAGGGGAGACCAAGCCAAAGCTAAGAGTCAGGGGCCAGGAGTTTCTTCTGAGTCTTCCACATGGGTGCAGGGGCCTAAGCACTTGGTCCAGCTTCCACTGCTTTTCCAGGCACATCAGCAGGGAGCTGGATTAGAAGTGGAGTGGCTGGGGCTCAAACTGCCACCCAAATGGGATGCCGGTGTTCCAGGTGGTAGCTTTACTGCTATGCCACAACATAGCCTTGATGTGCATTTCCATTGTCTTCTTACTCAAGTATATATAAAATATCTTGGATCTTTTTAATATTTACTTATGATTTATTTTTAAGGCAAAGACACAAACACATAGAGAGAAATCTCCCAACTACTGATTTACTCCCCAAATTCTTACAACACATAGGCCTGGGCCAGGCAGAGACCAGTAGCTGGGAACTCCATCTGGATTTATCACGGGGCTGGCAGGGACCCAACTACTTAAGCCAACACTACTTTGTCCTAGAATGTGCATTAGCAGGATGCTGGGATCAGAAGCAGAGTGAGGACTCAAACTTAGGCACTCTGGAGTGGGATGCAGGCACCACAAGTGGCATCTTGGTGTGTTTTTTTTTTTTTTAATTTATTGATTTATTTGAGAGGTAGAGTTACAGAGAGGGAGAGAAAGGACTTCCATTTGCTGGTTCACTCCCAAATTGGCTGCAGTGCTGGAGCTGAGCCAATCCAAAGCCAGAAACCAGGAGCTTCTTCCAGGTCTCCCACAGCGGGGAAAGGGGCCCAAGCACTTGGGTCATCTTCCACTGATTTCCCAGGCCATAAACAGAGCTAGATTGAAAGAGGAGTGGCCAAGACATGGACCAACACCCATATGGGATGCTGGTGCCACAAGGGGAGGCTTAGTCTATGCCACAGCACTGGCACCTGCTAAGAGGCATCTTAACTGCTGCACCAAAGACCTACCCCAATATCTTGGACCTTAAATAGCTAACTACAGCTTCCTTTTATTCACATTCAGAATATACTCTACTGTCTTCCTTACAGTCATGTGGGAAGACCATCAGTGGAAGCCATGGGTACCTCACCATGTACACAGCTAAGGTAGCTGGGGAGGTAAGTATTGCTGTGTTAGCATTACTGTTACAATTTCTTTTACTACTAATGTGTGTACTCTGTATCATCTCCACAGTGTGGTACTGAGAACAATTAAGAAATAAATCTGTACAGCAATTCTATTCAGTTGGGATGAAATGATACAGCATTTCTATGGGCTCTGATTTGCCTGGCTAGGGGACTTCAACTTTCATTTCTTTTCTTTTTTTTTTTTTTTGAAGAAAACTTTTATTGAATAAATATAAATTTGAAAGTACAACTTCTATATTATAGCAGTTCTTCCACCCACAAGCACCTTACCACCTGCAAACCATCCCATCTCCTACTCCCTCTCCCTTCCCATTCTTCATTAAGATTCATTTTTAATTATCTTTATATACAGAAGATCACTCTATACTAAGTAAAGATTTCAACAATTTGCACCCACACAGACAAAGTATAAAGTACTGTTTCAATATCAGTTTTACCGTTAATTCGCATAGTACAACACATTAAGGACAGAGGTCCTACATGGGGAGCAGGTGTACAGTGACTCCTGTTGTTGATTTAACAATTGACACTCTTATTTATGACGTCAGTAACCACCCAAGGCTCTTGTCATGAGCTGCCAAGGCTATGAAAGCCTCTTGAGTTCACAAACTCCAACCTTATTTAGACAAGGCCACAATCAAAATGGAAGTTCTCTCTTCCCTTCAGAGAAAGGTACCTCCTTCTTTGATGGCCCTTTCTTTTCCATTGGGATCTCACTCACAGAGATCTTTCATTTAGGTCATTTTTTTACCACAGCCTCAGAATCAGCCCTTAAGGCATTTGGATCTAGCTAAAAAGCCCATGGAAAGTCAACTTTCATTTCTAATGGATATTTCCTACGACACCATCTTTCTCCAAAATGCTTGAGGGTTTACTAGTGAAACTGAAAGAGCTAGACTTAAAGGCCATACAAAAGACAAATATAACACAAAAGAAAACATAAAAAGTAGAATTGTAAAAGAAATCAATGTATTAATATAGAATTCTTTATTACTGGAACAATCTTTATTGCCAAATAGCAAGAAAAGCCCTTCGGTTTAATATGAAGAGACTGTCGCCTGCTTTTCTTGTTTATCTCCCCATTCCCTTTCCAGCCCTCATTAGTCCTGGGCTCCCTTCTCCCTGGATGGATGAAGTGGACTGCACTGAGCGGTCTACTGAGAAAGAATCCATCCACTTGAACACTGTACTTGTGATATACAGTCTTCTATCAGGAAATGCCTAATTTGGTGCTTCTTTCAGAACATGAGTAATTATGCAATTATTACCCACTTCGTCTAAATTTTTCAAGAATAAGTACTGGTCACAAAAGCTTCCAATTAAAAGTATCAAAGAATGCAGTGTATTCAAACTCAAATTTTACGACTACTTACCTGGTATGGTGATACATTAAACAACCACCCACGTTTACAAATTTTTTATTTCTTTTGAACTCAAAAATCCCAAATTTATTTTATGTCACAAGCATGCAAATGACTTTTTCATCAAAATTCAAAACAAGATTTTAAGCAGAGTTGATGATTCTTTTTCAGTACAAAAAAGTACAGATGCTCTCCTAGGTCTGAAAGTGAGAGTTTGAGTTTTTGTTATGAAAAAATATATAAAATTATGAATAAAAAACTGGGTATAAAAGTGAATTTAAAGTGAGAAAATTAAAAGGCATTACAGCTTTTTAAAGAAAATATATTAAAAAATTTAGAAAAATAAACTAATATTTATTATTAACTGATGAGCCTTTCTGATACTTTTCTTTCTGCAATCTTGGCTATCCAATGTTCAACAAATTTTCCTCTAGCATGAAGATGACACTGGTTTTGGGTGTTTTTCCTAACGGAAATTTTT